ACTTCCCATTAGCTATCCATTTTACACATTAACATTCATTTTCTTTTCTCCAATCCATTCTGCACACTGACACTCAAAATGATTTTTCTTAAATGAAAATTTGATGTTGGTCTTTTGTTAAGAATCATTAAATAGATCCCACAGCCTGTAACAAAATGTCCAAAACTCTCTTAACTTCTATGATCTGATTCCCATCCTCCTTTCCAGTCTTTTCTCTCACCTCTTCCCATGACCACCCTTACTTTATACTATTCTATCTTTACACTCCATTTATTTTTAACTACCTGATGTTCCTGAAACTTGCAATGCTGTTTTATGCACGTGTTTGTTTTTTCCTGCTCATCCTCTTGAAGGGCCTTCATCTTTTGCCCTCACAGCAATGCAAACAGCTAACACGTCTATTTTCAATATCAGTTGAAGTCCTCCTAATGTCAACTCCCCATCCCCAACTTTTCCAAGAAAGAACTGAATATTCCATCCTGTACAGGGTGCCTATACAGATTTCTATTACAGGATCCATAATTTTTATTGTGAAAGTGAAGTCGCTCAGTTGTGTCCAACTCTCTGCGACCCCATGGACTCCTCTGTCCATGGGATTTTCCAGGCCAGAGTACTGGAGTGGGTTGCCATTTCCTTCTCCAGGGGATCTTTCCCACCCAGGGATTGAACCCAGGTCTCCCGCATTGTGGGCAGACCCTTTACCGTCTAAGTCACCAGGGAAGCCCCAATATATAAATAAATATATATATATATACATACAATATATAATAAATAAATATTTTCTTTATTGTGAAGATATGCTTATTAGGGGCTTCCTGGGGGCTCAGTGGTAAAGAATTAGATTGCAATGCAGGAGATGAGGGTTCTATCTCTGGGTTGGGAAGATTCCCTGGAGAAAGAAATGGCAACCCACTCCAGAATTCTTGCCTGGGAAATCCCAAGGACAGAAGAGCCTGGCGGGCTATAGTCCACGGGGCTGCAAAAGAGACATTGACTCAGTGACTAAACAAACAGACAGAAAAATGCTTATTAGACTGTAGGCTCCTTGGGAGCAGGAACCTAGTCTTATTTATCAATATATCCTTACTAACCAGCATAATAATTGGCATGTTGTAGATACTTGCAAAGATGTTAACTAATTAATGAATAAGCTTCATTATTTAGGTTAAAGCTTTTTCACAGTCTACCAAAAGCTACAGTCGATCATCAGTAACTGAGTTCCATCATTTATTTACCTGAAATGTCTAACTCCACAATCATCACCCTATTATACATCCTCATCCTGCATTTTAATGCCACACTGACTTTCCAGAAGCCACATTCATCATATCAAAGCCCCATCCATGAACTTATAGTGAATGATATTTTAAATCCAAATGCCTCCGTTAATGGTTCTCCATAAGCTGACCCTACCTTTATCTATCCAATTTCAACTCATCTGGTCAATTTCTTCATCATATCTTGAGTCTGGCACTTAAATTCTTACCTTTATTTTCACCCCAATTGTTTCATCCTATATTCTTATTACATACCTATTCTTACCTAATGCAATTAAATATTAACCATCATTTATAGGCCAATCAGTCTAATTTTTTTCCATTAAACTTTACCCAAATGCTTTCCCCTTCATTTTTAAACCAAATACATTCAGTACCAGTCACATCAGCACTTTTGCTTTTAAGAATGTTACTTTTTCTCCCCAAGTAGACTATCATTTCCTTCAGGTAAATCACACATACATCTTATCATATTTCCTTTCAGATTCCTGACAAGTCTTAGTTGCTGTGAATAGCAAGCCATCATAATATGGTACAGTTTTTTAAAAAAACTTTTCCAAAGCTTTTTTTAAACTAAAAAACATCCTCTCTTTAAATGAAATCTTATGTTGCAGCCCAATACATAAAAGCAATAAAAGGGGAGGGACTCTGAAATGAGGCATAGGGCTTGGAGTGCCGCCTGTCTGGCCTTCCCCTACTCGCTTAGCCACAGGGTAGCCCTGGAACACCTCTATAAATCTTCTGGAGCTCCTTGGAATATAATTTGAAAGCTACTGTGTTCAAGTTCTAGCTCTGACACTTATTGGCCATGTACCCTGAGGTAATCACAGACTCTCTAAGCTTCAGTTTCCCAAGATAATGAATATGCATGAGAAAAGTCTTTGTAAACTTGAAGGCCATATATGTAAATTTGAGTAATTTACAATTTCACAAGCCATGAGTTAAACTGGTTATATTATACAATGTTAACAGTAGTTGCATGACATAATGGTACTGACTGAGAAAGCACTCTATATTTTAAAATCCAGCTTTATTTAAAATAAAATAAAGCATTCTAAATATCATTCAATTCTGGGAATCCCAGGTCCTCTTCCTTTTTAATCTTGATTTGGGGGCAATAAAGTGTAATGATTAAAGGATATGTTTTCGAGTTGGGCAGACTTGAAGACCAGCTTCAGTACTAATTAGGTGTGTAAACTTGGATAAGTTACATAATTCTCTCCAAGCCTTAATTTCCTCCTCTAGAAAAATGAAAACAGCACTATCAGCTTTTTAGTTGCTGCTAGACTAAGAAAAATAATCTGAACAAAATTATTTAGTAGAGTACGAAACCCAGTAAGTTAACAATTATTTTCCTCTTGGGAAGAGCCATGGGAGACTTGAAGCACTTTGCATTAAAGTAGCATTACTTTTTTTTTCTTGGGCAAGGGGTCATAGCGCTAAAAACAAAACACAGTAAGTAAAATCTAGATGAAAAAACATGACACCTTTCACAACTCAGAGTGCCAAGTTATAAAACAGATGGTTTCTTTCCAGACATCCTCTAACAATTAAACAGCATTTCTTTCCTGTCTCGTTCTTTTAAATACACCCTTCCCCATGTACTTCAAAGTCATCAAATTATCAGCAAATGTTTATCAAATTAAACAGATTTCTTACAATCAGAAATTTACCACATAACAAATAACTTCAAAGCAACTATCCCTTTGCAAATTGGAATGGTGGCTTCCTATGAGAAATATTGCTAATTATGGGCTATTTCTCAAAAAAATTGAAGTTTAAGTGTAATTTTAGGAAAAATGCTAATTAAACATGAAGTCAACTGAAAAGGGAAACTTCACTATCTTTAAAATTATAAACATAAATATGTGCAAGTCCTTAAAAGAATATTCTTTGTCACACAAAATTAAGTACCTGATAGCAAAGGGATATGAGTTAAATAAAACAAGGCAAGTATCACTATGCAATTTTTTTTAAAGTAGAGGTATATGTACCAATATGGAAAGAGCTACAAGAAACATCTAGGTGAAAAGAGCAAGTTCAAGAGTGCGTATGGTATGAGTCCATTTGAGTTTGTGTGTTTTTAAAGATATACAAACCTGTTTGTACACAGAAAATTTTCCAAAGACTATTCAAGATCCCTACTCACATTCTGTTATATAATTAAGAAAGGAAGCCAAACTGCTATCAATTTAATATTCAATAACATGGAAATTGAAATGATTCTTTAAAGTATAAAAATGACAGATTTAACCTTCATGTGGCCCTAAGCAAAGTGAAGTCAAGTCAAAGTCGCTCAGCAGTGTCCAACTCTTTGCAACCCCATGCATGGACTGTAGCCCGCCAGGTTCCTCCGTCCATGGGATTCTCCAGGCAAGAATACTCGAGTGGGTTGCCATTCCCTTCTCCAGGGGACCTTCCTGACCCAGGAACAGAACCTGGGTCTCCTGCATTGCAGGCGGACTTGTTACCACCTGAGTCACCAGGGAAGCCCATGAGGCCCTAAGCTATTATCAAAGATTTGATAGAGACTGTCACAAAAACTCTTTTCTAAATGCTCCATCAGTGAACTTTAAGTGGAAAAACAGCTCACTGATTAGAAAAACAAAATACTGGTACTACCCTGGCAGTCCAGTGGTTAAGACTCCATGATCCCACTGCAGGGGGCATGTGTTCGATCTCTGGTTGGGGAACTAAGGTCCCACATGCTGCACAACTTGGCCATTCAAAAAAAAAAGACAAAAACAAAATATTTGCTAATATAGACAAAGGTCATTAAAATATTCCCAAATGCTTAATATTCATGTTACTTTAACTGACATATGTAACACTGAGAATTAACTGAAGAAATCACTGATTTATATTAACATTTGAAATATTTATTCCTACTACCTTTTTAAATGAAACTGGTCCAGTCATATGAAGAACTCAGAAACTGTTGAATATTTTTTTTTACAAATGATTGAAGTGACTTTGGTAAAGTGACACTGTAACCTGTTAGCTGCTTTCCCAATTCTCTTAACAGCTACATGGAACTTTACATGCTTAAATTCGAAACCAAGACAATAGGAAAAGAACCTCCCCTTATAATCCCCCCTAAAATGACATTTTAGATAATCAGAATAGGTTTTCTCTTATGTATAATAGGCTCTTATTAGAACAATGGACCAGAAGAAAGATGTAGATACTATTCCTGGCTTTGTCACTTATTAGCTGAGAGCTTGGCAAGTCATTGAATGCCTCTGACACTAAGTTTCTCCATCTATAAAACGAGAGAGGTATCTTTTCCAAGTATGAAAGTCTTGTGTTATGACAGTGAAAAATATCAAGTAAGAGACACTTATTTGCTGGTTCTTAACTGCTATATGACAACAAAAAATGCTAAGGAAGAAAAAATTAAATCTCATATATAATTATTAAAATTATGTATGCCCTCTACTGGAGATTATTAAAAGAGAACCATACTATGTCTTTAAGGTTTCTACTCAGAAATCCTTTTCTGCAGGGCTGAATTTTTTATTTGGCATAAAATACGTATTTCAGATTACACTATCTTTTGTGGTACTATGTGGAGAACTGATCTCTCATTTACATACAACTTTATTCTCTTTGAAGAATTCTGAAATATAGCCTTATTCAGATGAATAACTTTCATAGTAGTAATAAAATTTCCTTGATTTATATTAAGCTTTTTTTTTAAAGCTAATATTCTAAGACGTTTACCTTTGGCAGCATGGGAGTATCCCTTTTCTTCTTCTTTTCTGAATTAGGGTCATCTAGTAAGTCTGGCTCAAAAGTATAAAGTTCAGTCAGCTCATTCATGGTAAAATGACGTTCAACTTGCTGCTGATCAACAACTCGAAAAGACAGTGACTGCTTAGTTACTTGCCGATCATAAATCTTATCTTCCATGGTTCCCTTCGTAAAAAAGAATGCACAATACACAAATTTTGTAAACATGAAACTTAATCAAGAAGAAATATAGTTATTGGTTAATATGAAATAGCAAAACTTGATAGCAATATACTGCCATGAAGCAAATTTTATGAGCAATGTTGCTTAATTCATGAGATTTTTTTTTCCTGTTCAGAGTAGTTTATATTGATGAGAAATAAAACTATATTACTGGTAATCATCCTAAAATTTCTGACCAGTATGCATTCATGTATTGCTTTATATATTTCTGTACTTGGTGAAAGAATGAGAGCAGTCAGATACCAAGGTAAACAGAATAAAAGAGTACATGAAATCAAATTTTAGGGGGTTATTGATGTAAGAATCCAACAGGGCAGTTTAATTCTTTTTCAGTGGAATATAACATGCTCTCAACAATCACTATAAACTGACTTTATGTAAAGTCTTACTTTCTATAACTTCAGGACAAAAAATGAACTACAATGCCATATCTATTATATATTCTATAAAACATTCTGAAGTAGAATGGAAAGGAGGTCTTAATCTAAATAACAGGAAAGAGTTTACAGTGTAGTTTACCAACTATATTATGTACTCTTATGTATGACCAAAGATCTACCAATAAAACCTTGTCTCTGGTTGAGAAGCCCAGATTTGAAGGATGGTAGAGAAGGTAGCATCTGTTCCCAAAGAAGATGTAACAGTTAAAAGGGCAACTTGATTCTATAAACCTGTATAACATTGAACCGCATCTACTTCTTGATTTCATTTACTTGCCTTAAATATCAGTTTCTGTTTCTTAATACCTGAGTTTACATTCAAAGGAAATTAATATTCTTGATTAGAAATATTAAATATTCCTTGTAATGATTATTTGTTATTATAATACATTGATTATTTCTTTTATAATTAATATAAATTATAATTTTATATGTATATATAAATTTATATATATTAATATATCTAATTATAACCACAGTCTTCAAACTAAGAGAGCATCTGGTGCCACTGAAAACAATGATCATTTGACCTACACATCTAGAGGCAAATTAGATTTAGTTACTGGCTTTTCTATGCATAGTAAGTAAATGAATTATAAAAGTTTAACTTTCTTAAACTAGCATGAAATTGCTAAATCTGTATACCTATGCAAATTCACCTCAATCTGAGAAATTAGAGACATGGACAAACTATAAAACAGAAAATCATGAGAGGTCAAAATTAACTTATATTGCTTTAAGAACAGGAATGATATTTTCAAATTTGTTTGCCTCTCTACAATGCATGTATATTCTGAATTTCAAAAATATTGTCAGTTTCACCCAACCTTTCAATATGAAAAAGAATATAAATTATAAGCCTACCTGAGCTAAGAACCTATATACATACACAGGTTTAGTCTGTCCAAAGCGATAAACTCTGAATATACTCTGGATGTCATAAGATGGATTCCAAGAAGCATCAAATATGATCACTCGATTAGCAGCTACCAGATTAATTCCAAGAGATCCTGCTTTGGTGGAAATGATAAATAATCGCCCTCTGAAAATGAAAACACAGAATAAATGTTTAGAGATGAGGGATTCACAGATACTTTATTTATGGTATGACTTTTTAATCCTAAGGCAGTTTTTTGAACAATCATGAGTTCAGAGAATTCATTATTTGCTTACTGAAGAAAAGGACAAGTCTAAGGAGTTGGAGTTATGATTTATGTGCCTCAAAAGAATTGTAGTGCTATAAAATGAGATAGTCTGATGTAGGAATAAAGATAAATATGGAAATCACATGTTTACAATGTATTCAAGATATTTATTTATAGATTTCTCAGTAAATGGATAAAATTTATGTACAACTCAAAAAATGTGTTCAGTAGTGTTATGAGCATTAACTATATCAAGATGAAGGACACTGCTCAAGGAGCTGAGTGTAGGAGGGATGGCTGATATATAATTACAATTGTTGTTAAGTAGCTGTCCTATCTGACTCTATGCAACCCCATGGACTTCGGCCCACCAGGCTCCTCTGTTGATGGAATTTTCTAGGCTAGAAAACTGGAGTGGGTTGCCATTTCTTTCCCCAGGAGATCTTCCCAGACCAGGGATCGAATTCACATCTCCTGCATTGGCAGGCAGATTCTTTACCACTGAGTCACCAGGGAAGCCCTGCAATTGCAATATGATGTACCAAACGTAAACAGAAGTTAGATAGATGCAAGGTATAAGGTAACAGGTGCTGTGCTCAATATGTCAGTAAATTTGGAAAACTCAGCAATGGCCACAGGACTGAAAAAGATCAGTTTTCATTCCAACCCCAAAGAAAGGCAATGCCAAAGAATGTTCAAACTACTGTACAAGTGTGCTCATTTCACATTGTAGCAAGGTAATGCTCAAAATCCTTCAAGCTAGGCTTCAGCAGTACCTGAACCAAGAAATTCCAGATGTTCAAGATGGATTTAGAAAAGCCAAAGGAACCAGAGATCAAATTGCCAACAATGCCTGGATCACAGAAAAAGCAAGAGAATTCCAGAAAAACATCTACTTCTGGTTCACTGACTGCACTAAAGCCTTTGATTGTGTGGATCACAACAAACTGTGGAAAATTCTAAAGAGATGGGAATACTAGACCACCTTACCTGCCTCCTGAGAAACCTGTATGCAGGTGAAGAAGCAACAGTTAGAACTGGACATGGAACAATGAACTGGTTCAAAACTTGGAAAGGAGCACGTCAAGACCGTGTAGTGTCACCTTGATCATTTAACTTATATGCAGAGTACATCACATGAAATGCTGGGCTAGATTAATTACAAGCTGGAATCAAGATTGCCAGGAGAAATATCAATAACCTCAGGTATGCAGATAATACCACTCTAATGGCAGAAAGCAAAGAGGAATTAAAGAGCCTCTTGATGAGGGTGAAAGAGAGTGAAGAAGCTGGCTTGAAACTTAACATTTAAAACACAGAACATGGCATCTGGTCCTATCACTTCAGGGCAAATAGATGGGGAAAAGGTGGAAACAGTGACAGATTTTATTTTCTTGGGCTCAAAAATCACAGAAGGTAGTCACTGCAGCCATGAAATTAAAAGACGCTTGCTCCTTGGAAGAAAAGCTATGACAAACCTAGACAGCACATTAAAAACCAGAGACATCACTTTGCTGACAAACTTCTGTATAATCAAAGCTATGGTTTTTTCAGTAGTCATGTATGGATGTGAGTTGCCGTTGTGTTAATTGCTCAATCATGTCTGACTCTTTGCGACCCCATGGACTGTAGCCTACCAGGCTCCTCTATCCATGGGATTCTCCAGGCAAGGATACTCGAGTGGGTTGCCATGCCCTTCTCAATGGGATCTTCCTGACCTGGGGATTGAACCCAGGCCTCCTCTATTGCAGGCAGACTCTTTACCATCTGAGCCACCAGGGAAGGGTACAGATGTGAGAGTTGGACCATAAAGAGGGCTGAGTGCCAAAGAATTGATGCTTTTGAACTGTGGTACTGGAGAAGACACTTGAGAGTCCCCTTGACAAAAAGGAGATCAAACCAGTCAATTCTAAAGGAAATCAACCCTGAATATTCATTAGAAGGACTGATGCCAAAGCTGAAGCTCAAATACTTTGGCCACATGACGGGAAGAGACCCTGATGCTGGAAAAGACTGAGGGCAGGAGGAAAAGGGGACAAGAGGATGAGTTGGTTGGATGGCATCACTGACATGAGTTTGCGCAAACTCTGGGAAATAGTGAAGGACAGGGAAGCCTGGCGTGCTGCTGTCCATGACTTAGCGACTGAACAACAACAAGGTAACAAAAACAGGATCAAGAAGACAGAGGGCTCAAGGAAGAAGAATGTACTCAAGAAAAAAGTAAACAAAACTGATAGATTACCTGCTACACTGGAACATAATAATTTATATTTCTATACAGAATTTGGGAATGAATTAGCAATAGTCAAAGAAAACTAAGCAAATGGTAAAAACAAACCATTACTTCAACAAAAATGAACAGGTGCAGAAAAAAAAGGAAAAGTAATCATAGTATTTTAAACGGCTTAACTGTGAATATTTACATAGTCACAACTAAGCAAACACTCCAAACTGATTTAGGCAAATACCAAGGAAAAGGGTATTGAGAAAATGAATGTGGAAAAGTATGTATATGCATATGAGTAAACTGCCACCTTAAATTGTAGAAATGATATATGTAAATAGAATAAAAGAGTACATGAAATAAGATTTTATGGCTTTATTGATGTTAATCAGAAGAACCGCTAAGAGTTGAAACTGTTATCTACAGAGTGTGGAGGTCATGAGTTGGAAGAGGTTGGTCAACAGACTAATTTTTATATATGTAAATATATTAATTTGATATAAACAGAAATCTAATTTTAAAAGATCATAGATAACATTTTAAAAATATATAAACAAGTTTAAAGAAAAAAAAAGTATTCCATTCTACTCCATAGAAACAACCTCCATTCAAAGCATAGTACACTTCCTATAGGTTTCTTTTTCTAAGTGTATATATTTTTGTCTTATTCAGCCAAGATAATATAGTATCTGTATATACAGTTTTTATTATGAGCATTTTCTAAAATTTCTTAGTAATCATCAGCCCTGGTAGCTGCATAATATTTCACTAGATGACTATACAATTTGTTTACTGTTGACAGCTGAGAAAGGCTCTCAACAATCTCCACAAAATGCCATTATACACCAAGCCTTGCTTTCTACAATTTCATGACAGAAAATTAGTAACTAAAATTTCATACCTATTATAGGTATAGTATTATAAACCAGAATGCAAAGAAGCTCAAAATTTAACTAATAAGAACAAACTGATAATTAAAAAAATTCTGGTACAAGATGAATTGCAGTACTAGTCATGTTTTATATCATCTTGGAGCTATCCCATGTCTAGGAATATAAATGATAGAAATTACCAGAAATACAAGAATATATGTTCATCACAGTGTTATTTACAAGGGCATAAGTTTGGGGGAAAAAACGTGTATGATACAGAAGACTAACTTACACTCTGGCTATTCAACAAGGTACATTACCATAAAAATCTACAATATAGGGACTTGTCCAGTGGTTAAGACTCCATGCTTCCATTGAGGGGGCATGGGTTGGATCCCTGGCTGGGGAACTAAAATTCCTGCATGCCATGTGGTATGGCCCGAAAGAAAGAAAGAAAGAAAGAAAGAAAGCTACAATATTATGTTATGTGGGGGGGGAAAGCAGGATATGGAACTTCATTAAGTATAACTGCAACTGCATTAGAAAATAAAACATATACATACATACATACAACGCTAAAACAGTGGTTACCTCCGGTCACTAGGATGATGATCATTATTTTCTTCTTTATACTTATCTATAAAACATACTCATTACAGAGAATGAACTGTGCTTTCTTTAATTAGTGGATATACTTAAAAGTTTATGGGCAAATGCTGCTCCAAAATCACTTCAGTTACTTATATCTATTCCACACCAGCTAAAGGATCAAGCATATAAAACAGTATGGACTATGCGAGTTAAAAACACACACACATAAGACGAGAAAACCGAGGAGAGAACTTCAAAACTCTTTGGTAATCTATCCACTAATGAAGATTTGAATGGGTTTAATAAGCATGTTTATCAAACTGCTATCAATTCCAAGTACTGAACTACTCTCGGAATACAAAAGATGGAAAAAAAATCTGGTAACTGCACTAAAGGAGACCACTAACTACAAAAAAAAAAAAAAAGACATATAAACAATTGTAATACAGTCTAGTTTGCAATAATAGAGGTACTTATTTACATGATAAAGATGCAGTCAGTGACATATTTTGGTTTTTAAAGGCACACAAGTGGGAAGCAAACGTGTAATTTTGTCCTCAAAAGAAAAATAAAGAAACAGAGATTCAAGTGACTGAACCAGTATCAAGAATTATTTTACAACTCTTTAACCTTTAATATTATTCAGTCTGGAATATGTAAGCCCGTACTAAATTAAACTTAACCAGGATATTTTTAGATTTTCTTAGTATTAAGGTACACACTAAGACACAATTAAAATATGAACCATATTTGGATGGTGTTGCTATAAACCGTTTTTGTATGTATTTGGTTAAAAACCTGCAAGCATTACTTTTAGGTATATACCTAAGAACTGCTGGATCACATGGTATATACATGGCACTATTAAAACTGAATAGTTCTCCAAAGTGGTCATTCCAATTTACATTCCTGCCAGCAGAGTATGAGAATTCAAATGTTTCAGATCTTAGATAACTCATGGTATTGTCTTTTAATAAAGTATAACCTTTAAAAAATAGATAACGATTCACAAGAATTTGCAAAGGTGGTACAAAGAGTTCCTGTGTACTGGTTCATCCAGCTTTTCCAAATGGCAACAACTTACATAGCTACAATATGTTGTCAAAAACAGGAAACTGCCATGGGTACTGGTACAATACTATGAACTCAATCACAGACTTTATTTGGATTTCACCAGTTTTTATATGTATTTTTATTGCTTGGTGTATAG